CCTTTTCTTTCTCCTTCTCCACCTTCTCCTTCCCTTCTCCTTTTCTTTCTCCTTCTCCTTCTCCTCCACTCCAGAATCCCATTCCTTTGTAGCACTGATGATGTTACCTAGTTGGGTCATGAAACGTCTCCCAAGAAAACCACCCAGCTCAGAGAGCACCAAGGACTCCTCAATTCTCCTCAGCTCCATAAGCCCTTGTAACACTCCCTTCTAGCACTGATGATGTTATCTAGTTGGGTCATGAAACGTCTGCAAGAAAATCATCAAGCTCAGAAAGCACCAAGGACCCCACAGTTCCCCCTTGTCCTCCTCCTCCTTCTCTTCCTCCTCCTCTTCCTTCTCCCCCCTTCTCCCCACTCCCTTCTAGCACTGATGATGTTACCTAGTTGGGTCATGAAACGCCCGCAAGAAAACCACCCAGCTCAGAGAGCACCAAGGACCCCACAGTTATCCTCCTCCTTCCCCCTTCTAGCACTGATGAGGTTACCTAGTTGGGTCATGAAACGTCTCCCAAGAAAACCACCCAGCTCAGAGAGCACCAAGGACCCCACAATTCTCCTCCTCCTCCTCCTTCTCCCTTCTAGCACTGATGATGTTACCTAGTTGGGTCATGAAACGTCTTCAAGGAAAACCACCAAGCTCAGAGTCTGCGAAGACCCCCAAGATACTTAGAACAACGAATAGGAAACACATTCCAATGGGGTTAGGAGGTGTACCTTTAAAAGTGGAATATAAAAGCCACAGAGATTCAGAAACATGGGGGCTTGTCCTTATTTTTTTGTTCTTTTTATACTGTGGAATAAGCGTCTTGGTCCATAAGGCTACACCCGAGCTACTTACAAACAGGTTAGAGAATTGCAACGGGGGGGGCGGGTGGCAGTGGTTTGCTGCAAAAGGAGGCAGGGACGCGACACCCCTCGGAAGCGGGGAAGGAGAGTTCTAGGGTGCCTTCCCCCAACTTGAGTGGGTGGAGGCCTCAAGACCCGGTTCTCGTCCCCAGGTGTGTCTGAAGCCATGAACTCCCTTTAGGCTGCGTTATGGCATTTTAAAAAGACCATCCTGTGCCTTTCCGTCAATCACATCTTCCCCGCTTGGTACCGTTCACAACCGACAACAGATTCTGGAGCCCCTTGGCGAGTTTTCCCGTTTTTCCCGCAAAGAACATCCTGAACTGCCTCCGGCACGGAAAACACCATCCCCACTTCCAACCTCAAAACCAGCAAGGCTCTTGAGAGGGCTAAAACGCCGCGCGAGAGTCACCGTTTCGCCCACAAACGCACCAGCGATCCTCGTTCGGGGATGGTTGACGGTGTGAATCCTTTTCGAATCAGACACAGGGATTGGCCTACGTTGCCTCTGCCTTGTTGGAAAATTCCCCGGATAAAGGAGAAAACCGAACATTTTTGAAGCAGTACAGTCCGAGACAGTTTGGATAAAACGACGTCACCCGGCCGAGAAGGAATGGGAAAATTTAGACCCCAGTTGTGTGGCTTCTTCCACCGCGAATGGAGACGAGAAGAGAATTCCGACTCCCTTGTTTCGGGAAGCGTTCCGCGCCGTGGGGAAAACCCCTAGGAAGGGTTTTCCACATCATGTTTGCACCGTTTCACGGCCAGGTCTTCGTTGTGAGCTTTCCGAATGTGCCGGTAAAGATCTCCGGACTGAGTGTAACTCCGCATGCAGTAACGGCATTCGTACGGCCGTTCCCGGGTGTGGACGGTCGCGTGGCGCCGCAGCGTGTAGGAGCAGGAAAAGGTTTTCCCGCACGTCTTGCAAGTGGGGACATCCTCGGTGAAAAGGTTGAAATTGGAGTGGGAATCGTAATCCTGCAAGTACATCTGTTCGTGCAACGGAGGAGTAGCCATGGTGGAAAACGTCTGTCCTCCTGGCATGGGGATCAAGTGGTACGGGGCATTTTCTGGAGGTAGGAAGTTGCCCTCTGAAGAGACCTCTTCCATCCCGCTGGGCTCTTCGAAAGCATCCGGGTGTCGCCCGCAGCCCACCTCCCCGCCAGATTTCGGAAATATGCTTTCTAGCCTTAGCTCCGGGCCAGGAGGGACATCCAGCGGCTCTACCCCGTCTGGTTCCTCGTCGGAAATCACAATCGCTTCCACTTTGACCCGGACGGACCGATTCGCCGACTCCTTGTGTCCGACGCGCTGTTCTTCGTACCTCTCCGGAGGCGGATCCAAGCCGGAAGTCCCCTCGGCTCCGGAAGGATACGAGCTACACAACAAAGTTTCGGTGGAGCTGCTCGGGCTAGAGAGAGAAATGTCCATGATAGGGGGCGGACGAGGCCGTGTGGCAGATGGCGCGTCCATCCCGGGTTGCGTGGTGTCCGCCACGTCCAAAATGGAGGCGGATAATTCTTCAGGAGGCGTTTTCTGTCCGAAGTTCCAATCCTTTTTGGGGGTTTTCTCGGGGTCGCAGGAGTGAGGCGGGGGCAAGGATGCAGGCTGGCTTTCGGCGGACGGCAACAGACTTTCCTCCTCCTTCTTCGTGCTGTCGGCTTCGGCTAAGCCTCGGGCTTGCAGTTTCTTTTTACACACCTTGACGATGTCGTTCATGTGCAAATAACTGGCGGCGGCTAAGATGTCCTCCACCGGCATGTCGCCGAAGGAGAGGCTGCCTTTGTACATGAATTCCAGCAGGAGCCCGAAAGCCGGGGCAGTGACGATCTCGCTGTTGATGGAGACCAAGTCTCGCTTATCCAGCCGCTCCTTGTAGAACATCTGGAAAAAGGCACTGCAGGAGGCGAGGACGGCTCGGTGGGCCAGGAAGCGGGCGCTGCCCACCAGGACGGTGCAGTCGCAGAGGAATCCCTCGTGCTGCTGCTCCCACAGCTTTCGGAGTAAGTTCTTGCTGTGGTCGGGGAACTCCATCATGGGGCCGGGAGTCTAGTTCACGACAACGGGAAGGTTGGAGGCATAGTCGGGCCCAACTGGAAGCAGCCGGCAAGAGAAGGAGAAGAGTCATTGTTGGAAAAGGAAATAACAACAATAATAATAATAATGGCATGGCAAAATAACTGGACACTTGGACAGCTCATGTTTTTCCTGCCCCCTGCCATCACTCTGCTGAACCTGTAATTCTCCCAGGGCTGTCTTATGCCTCTCTACCCCATGTTGTATGGCTGTGGTATGATTAGCCTCCTTCTCATCTTCTCTACTACCCACTGTTATTGGTATCGTATTATTATCATTATTAGTCTGTTGCTTTGCCATAAACACTGAGAGCTTTTGCACCGGAGACAAATTCCTTGCGTGGCTAATCACATTTGGCCAAATAAAAGTTTTCAATTCCTATTCCTATTCTATTCCATCTAATTTCTCTATTCTAATTTCTCTATTCTATTATCTATTCTAATTTATTTATTCTACTCTATTCTATTCTGTATTCTATTCTATTCTTATTTATCTATTCTAATTTCCCTATTTTACTCTATTCTAATTTCCCTATTCTATTCTGTATTCTATTTTATTCTAACCTCTATTCTAATTTCTCTATTCTATTCTGTATTTTATTCCATTCTAATTTCTATATTCTAATTTCCCTATTTTACTCTATTCTATTCTGTATTCTACTCTATTCCATTCTAATTTCTCTATTCTAATTTCCCTAATCTACTCTATTCTAATTTCTCTATTCTATTCTGTATTTTATTCCATTCTAATTTCTATATTCTAATTTCCCTATTTTACTCTATTCTATTTTCTCTATTCTATTCTGTATTTTATTCCATTCTAATTTCTATATTCTAATTTCCCTATT